CTTCTTTTTCGGGCCTGATCTGTTTCTTGAAAAATCAATTTGATGTCCTCCAGCAAGGTTAATTATTGAGTTGCAAGTTTTTCTATATACGAATGTTTGATTTAGTAAATGGGGTATGGAGTTATCCATAACTTTATGTATTGACACATGTTCAATGTGTAGGACACGTGTCAATACACCATTTGCATATAAAAAATTTGCTCCACTAAGGATGATCAAATTTTGTCTCACCGGGTTTTTCTGAAATGAATGAGACAACGATGTATAATGGCCGCAAGCTACACTACAAGATGTTCAGAAGTTTTTATTCAAATCTTTTTTTCTTTCAACTAGTTTACATATGTTTAGAAAATAGTTCTTCAAGGGGGAGTGTTATAAATTTATGCAATCGGTAGGTTCACCTACCGAATTAATATTCATATATGTGAATGACTTTTTTTCTTGTTGTAATTATATTATTACGATTGTGTCATCAGAAGTTTTCCTATAAATAAGAATTGTAGTTATAATGAAAATCGTACCAAAAGAATACATTTTTCAATATTCTCTCTTTACCCTTAGTTTTATAACAAAAACAAATTTTAGATTCTAACCATATTATTACGATTGTGTCATCAGAAGTTTTCCTATAAATAAGAATTGTAGTTATAATGAAAATCGTACCAAAAGAATACATTTTTCTATATTCTCTCTTTACCCTTGGTTTTATAACAAAAACAGATTTTAAATTCTAACCATATTATTAATTTTTTCCACAAATATTTACTTTCACATCCAAAAATATTTATAAAAATCGTAACAAGTTAGGTAAATTTTTTCAGGTTGGTCAATTAACTTTGTCAATGTAATTATTTCTTAAGTTTTATTTAATTATATATACAAAAAAATAATTCTTCAATTAATACAATTTACAATGTAAGAGATAGTGACCAGATCCATTAAAAACTTTTACTATTGACCCGTACAAAAATATTAATTTTTGTTTAGAATTTCAACATGTGATTTATTTATATGTGATTTAATTTTTGTTTCAGCATCAGGTACGTATAAATTATTCTACAATTAATATTAACAACTGGAGGCTTAATTTTTATTTTTCACGCCATGCATTTCAAAATAGATATTTTGTCATTGGACATGATGTGATAATGAGAAAGCTACAAGTCAATAAGACCATGTTCCACGTGACTCGTGAACCACATTGTAACTATTCCCACTCACCACTCATTCTCATATCCTATAACCAAGCAAATAAATCTTAGACAGNATGGATTCAAACACACTTTGAAAATCCTCATGTTCCCATGGCTAGCTCATGGCCATATATTCCCTTATCTCGAGCTAGCCAAAAGACTCCTCAACAGAAAAAACTTCCACATCCACCTGTGCACGACCGCCGTCAATTTCCCCTCAATCCAAGACTTCATTCTCAAAAACTCGCTTCAACACTCCATAGACTTGGTTCAACTCCATTTGCAGCCATCGCCGGAGCTTCCCCCGAACCACCATACCACCAAAAATCTCCCCTCGAACCTCATCCCCTCTCTCCTAAAATTATTACAGACATCAGAACCCAACTTTTCAGACATCGTCAGCACGCTAAATCCCGACCTCGTGATCTACGACGTTTTCCAACCGTGGGCCGCCAGAATCGCTTCGTCCAAGAGCATCCCGGCCGTCCATTTTCTCCCCCTCCGAACTGCCACCACATCCTACGTCTACCACCACCACTCCACCGAACAAAACTTCCCTTTCCCGGAACTCCATCTGTCCGACCACGCGAAGGAGAGAATGGACTCGTTCGTCGAGTTTCTAAAGGACAACATCTTTTTCGAGGGCCGAAACTCTTTCATCAACTTCGAGCTCTCGTCGGGTGTTGTCCTGCTGAAGACGTGTCGCGCGTTGGAGGAGAAGTACATCGACTACCTCTCCGGAGCCTTCCGGAAGAAACTCCCGGCCGTGGGCCCGCTCGCAGCTTGGAGATTCTGCGGTGGCTCGACGGTAAAGGCCCACGGTCGACCGTGTACGTCTCGTTCGGCTTCGAGTGCTTCCCGTCCAAGGAAGAGATAGCGGAGATAGCGAGGGGGCTCGAGGCTTGCCGCGCAAGCTTCGTGTGGGTGGTTCGGTTCCCCTTGAGGAGGCCCTTCCGGAAGGGTTCCTCGGGAAAAGGGGTTGGTCATGGTCGGGCGGGCCCCGCAGGCCAATTTGTTGGCGCACCGTAGCACGGGAGGGTTCGTGAGCCACTGAGGGTGGAGCTCGTTGACGGAGAGCGTGTACTATGGGGTGCCCGTCATAGGCATGCCGATGAAGCTCAACATGTTCGTAGATGTTAAGATGATGGTGGATGCCGGTGTTTATGTGGAGGTCGAGAGGAAAGGGAATAGTGAGGGGTATAAGGGAGACAAGATAGCGAACGCGATAAATGAAGTGATTGTGGAGAAAACGGGAGAACGGATGAGGGGAAAGGCGCTTGAGTTGAGCGAGAAGATGAGGGTGGAAGAAGAGGTGGAGATGGATGCAACGAGTGAGTTGTTGTGGGAGCTTTGTTTACAAGCTAAAGTTCAAAAGGAGTGAGTGAAGTTGGAGGGGCTTCAACGTTGTACTAGCGAGTGATAAGTTTAAAATATTTTAGCTTTCGTGTCGTACATTTTATTCCAAATGTAACAAGTTTGTGATGCAGTTTTATTTACACAATAAAGGGGTTCTATAATTTCTGAATTTTTCTTGGGAGATGGCAATGAAGTTTACAAAAGTCGATCAAAAACTTGTTCAATCGTAATTTTCAAAATAAGAAACCTCAAGGCCTAGCATCGCTATCCGATAATTGGTATTGAGATAATGAATCTTGCTTATGTCAGAGGGATTCTTTAAAGTTTCGACTTTGAATCTCTCAAATGGAGTGTAATCTACAATTGTTATGAGGCTAAAGATATCTAGGCATGCACAAGGAACACATCACTCACTAGAGAAATGTCTGAGGACAATGACGTTGACCACGATACTTAGTCGAGACTCTCAAGAAACTGAGAGAAACTGGAATATTTTGGCTGCCACCCTAGTTCTGATCGAGTTCTTGAGTTGTTCAATTTCTTACCTAAAGGACCCGTTGTCCCTGCACACATAAAAATCAATGCCAATTTAGACATATATATATGATTTGCCAAATAAATTGCAGTACAAAAGTAGGAAACTCACCGGTAAAACCTTCAAATTTCTTACTATATTTTCCACTCTTGCAAACCAATTCCATTACTTCCTGCCTGAAAAGCAATGAAAATATAATCACATTATAGATTGTTGTCCTACATTCGTAAATGTATATCAAGTCGAACAAAACCTGGATAACGGGTTATTATCACAGCCAAGAAATATCTGGCTACGAAATTTCTTTTTCAAGATGGCAATTGAAAGAGAAGCTGCATCCTGAACAATTTACAAGTGTTAATTCAAGTCAAACATAAATGAAGCAATATACATAACATCACAACTAGTTTTTCAGATGTATGTTCAATGGTAATCATTACATTTGTGCGAGTGAGAGAGAGAGAGAGAGTGAGAGAGAGAGAGAGTCACCTCATAATGTATTAGATTTAGGATGTGATCGGGTCGAGAATCAGCACTACCATTCTTCAACCAATATGCATGGGCACCTCTATCTTCTTTGTATTACAAGTTAAGGAAGGTTGTTTACATGGTTTGTTTCCATTATTTGAACTTGGTAGTTTCCAAATTTGCATTCAAAATCTAAAAAGGATATATAAAGCCCAGCCAGCCTAACAACACAACCACCAGCCTCCAACACTAGTTTCTCCACATTCAGCAGAGTATCTAGTTTCGGGTTCCTCCCCGTTGGTACTACTGGAGTGTTCTGTAGAAGTATCATGGTAACTTATAGCGAAATTAGTTTAATATATTAGCTATAATTAATTTTTTTTTTTTTTTAGCAANTTTTTTTTTTTTTTAGCAAGAGAGTGTCGAAATGTCAGGTGACATACCTCATCGCAAGATCCATTGTCATAACAGTCATAGAGAGCAGAACTTGAAGTAAATAAGAAAGAACCTTCACGATTCCATTTTAAAGTTCCTTCCCTATATATGATTGGTTCGGGAGCATAAAGTAGTGCTAACTTTTAATTAGCTCAGCTATAAATTGTACAGAATAAGCAGAAAAAAGTTCGAACGAAGAATACATGAGAAACAAACAAAATGCATGTTATTTCAAGTCGAAATACTATATTAATCAAAATTCTTAAATCCAATCTCCTAAACCCGAGGAAAAATGTAATTCTTAACTTGCAGATAATAACTACGACAAAAAACTATATACACTGGTCGTTGGCATACTGCTCAGAAAGCCACAACACAACACATAAGGCATCTCTTTACATGCAGATAGTGACATTGCCAACAAGACACCATTTAAAGATGTTATTAATTAAAGAAAGTACCTAACTTCGCCTAGGTAGTCTGGATTTCGGGAAGGAGGAGCACAAAAGATAACATTAGGGAACTTATGAGCCACTTGGGTTCCCTTTAGAAATGGAACAATTCCATTTTCTTTTAACTCGTCATGATGATCGGGTGTCAATGTCAGTCCATAAATTTGAGACTTGGGGTGTTCCTGTCACGTTAAAACATTCATATTTCAGCATTTTGTTACCAGCAGATGCACAAACACAATAAAATTTCCAAATATCCCCATTTAACACTTTTAACGAGGCAAGGAAATTATTGTCAATCATGAAACTAATAAAACTATAATCTTATCCTGAAAAGCATCCATTGCACAAGCATCATTTGCCGCATCAAAATTATACACGGTACATGTATAATGAGGTACTGAGAAAACAATTTACGTATTGGCTCATATTTTGGCAAAATAATACCTTTTGCCATTTTTGAGCTACTATGCGTCCGAGCACGCCTGGCCCAACAATCAACAAATCATCGACTCCAACCACACCCTTAGATGAAGCTTCCAGCTCGTCATTAGGCGTGCCTAACCACCCGATATAACATTAACTTCAACCGGTTCTAAAGAACATAAAGACAAGCATACGCTACACGCAACACTAGACAAGAATGGTGCAATAACATCATGATACCACACACAAACAAAGGATTTTGTATAATTCAACACACCAACACAATCACCAGCACTTAGAATTCCTAAAACACTTCAAAAGATTAACGAACAATAGCATAAATACCAAAATACAACTTAGTGCAGCACAAAAAGCACAATGCGATCGAATTATACGCAGAACAGCAAATAATTTTTCAATTTTTCTTTTGTCAAACTCAATAATACCACAAAATTTATCAAAGATAACACACATAGACACACACACACACCTCTCGATAAGAGAGACCATACCACTGGTGGAGGAAGCCTTGACTGTGCAAGCCGGAGTGGACATACAATACGACGCAGTACAGCGGCTTCGCCGGCACGGTACGAAGAATTTCCCGGCAATTGGAATAAACAAAGTAGCTGAATCGAAGCTTAAATGAGAGAAGTTCGAGTTTTTGGGCCTTTGGGAAAATCCGGCGAATTGAGAACAGCTCGTGGTGCAGAATTTTGTTGTATTCATTATGAGTTTCAGACACAGAAACCCACCAAGTGCGAGAAACGAACGACTTTTTTGGTTTCAGAGCGACTGTGAGGAAGAAAAGATAAATTAATAAATAAGTTTTTTAAAATTATGTTTATTTTATTAATATAATATATTCTACCATAATTTATTTTAAAATAAATATAGAAATTTTATTTAAAAAATAATTTATTATATTAATTTATATAAACTAACACCTACATAACCTTTCAATTGTTTTTAAATGTATAATTACATTTAATATCATATAAATTATTCACTGCATCACCATTTTTTAAATAATTTCATACTAGCATGAGTACAACATTCATGTATTACACGGTTACCGATTAAAAAATTTATACTTACAAATACAATAAAAATAAATATTTATTTTAAGTTTTTAAATGCTTGTTAAAATTGTATTATTATTTTATTTAATTTATATTTATAAAGATGGATTAACTTTCTTTTATATAGGTAATAGAGATGTCAAATTGAAGTAGACTATTAATTTGATATTATATATTATATATATATATTTATCAAATTGAAGATCTAAATACATGGATCCAGTCGATTCGTGCCCCTGGGGTCCATATTCCGATGGTGTTGTGGTTGTGGGATGCCCGGCACGCCCGGTCGGCAGTTTCGGTAGCAGATTCATGAACTGCGGTTCAGTCTCCGGGGGTGATTGTCTGTGATTCTGCTGGTGCCTTGTGCTGGGATTGGTTATTTGCTGTGGGAAGGGCTCTGTTTTTGTTTTTGTTTTTGTTCTGTTTTATCTGTTTTTAGGTTAAGTGTGTTTATTTGTTTAGTTTAGTCTTGTATTTTTGTTTGGGTCTCTGGCCTCTGTAATGCCCGAGTGAGAGCGTGTATTATCCCTTTGGAATCGTTTATTCTCTTTTTGGAGATCTGTAGTTTCTTTTATTAGTGTTTGTCGTGTCGTGAGTCTTGTGTCTTTGTTTCTAACGTTGCTAGTGACGGCTCTAGGCGGTCTTCAGATCCGTCTTCCCAGTCTTTTCAACTTTTGTTTGTATTATTCAACTAGTGTTCTACCTTTACACATTTGTGTATTTTTATCTATAAAATTCTCTATAGTTCCTAAAAAAGAAACAAAAAAAGAAAAAGAAAAATAGAAATGGGCCATCTTTAATCCTTCCGCACTAAATAATGCTCAATGGGACTTGGTACACATTATCAAAGCATGCAAAAACTCTCATAAATGTGCTTCTATAATAACACCAACCAACATGGAGGACACAATTGATACTCTTAACTCTTAAGATTCATGTATTAAGAAGGTTGTTGTATTTTGGTTGTCCAAACTACTTTTGGGAAATATTATATAACGAGAATTTATTAGAAAGGGTTATTCATTATCTAACTAGTACACTATCAAAATATTCTATCGTGTGAATATATTAATAAGAATTATTAATTATACACTATCAAGATATTCGTTTAGATTAAATTTAAGAATTGAGCATAATATTATTTTCCCCATAATGTAAATTGTAATATCTGTTTTGTTGTTATTTGGATGGTATGAGTGAAATAGATGTAGTCGTGGTGTGAGGTCATATTCTACATAGATTGCAGTCAAATATTAAATATTATCTAATCCAACACAAATTTAGATGATGATTATGAACCAAGAGATCAAACTAAGAACTAATTTATCTAATAACTAAGACTGGTGAGAAATTCTAAAATAAAAAATATATGCTAGTTAAACATTTCTCAGAATTAATTTATATATGAACTATTTTAAATTCATTCAAACCTTATTTATTTTTCTCAAGAAAATCATTAAATTAATTTAACATTTTTCTCGAACAGGTTAAATCGTATATTACTAGCTATCTATCACCTCATGGTCTCAAAATAAACAATCACCACTCAAGTCCTAAGATTTTTGTACTCTCGTAAAATTCTATCACTCTCTCGGTTTGTTTATTCTCTTACGTTAAATCTCCCAATTATAAAGACCAACTATCTTCACTCGATATCAAGTAGATCTCAAATATACATTCTCAGAAGCCATCTACCCATAATAAATTTAGGCTAGAAACATTCATTTAAAACCATAAGAATATTGATAACCATTGAGTTCGAAAAATAAAACAAAAAGAAAGGAAAACTTATCTGAATTCTTCGATCCCTTCTTACTGACTTTATCTCTCGTCTTCCGCTTGTTTTTAGCATTAAAAAATGTCCAAAAATCCTATAATAAATGCCCTAATATTTTTTTAAATAGTTGGGGTCGAATTCTTCTATAAATTGAAAAGTGCGTAAAAAAAATGTGTCATACTAGCTAAGCCATATTGGGTCGAGTTCCACACGATTTGTGTGACCCAACCATTAAAACCTATAGAAAATCCCGCCAAGTGCCACATGAGTCGTGTGGCACTCACCCAAAGTAACACGGCTTGTATAAAAGTGCAGAGCCTCCAAGACGACTTCATTCGACATTCACTCGACTTTGGCTGCACGTTTCACGACACGTCTGATGCCTGAAACCAAAAAGTAGCAGCTTTTCGCGCAGCTGGCAGGCAGCAGTGGGCATAGCCACTGCGCCCAACACGCTAGCACTGTGCAACTTGTGGGCAGCGCCCTCAGCGTGCAACAACGAATGACTACAAATTCGGGCGAGCAACTTGGTCAGGCTCGTGTCCGCCTCTCATCGATGGATCCAGATGGGCTTGCACCGGTGGGTCCTAACTCGTCTCCAATTTATTCCCATGAATATTTAGCCCAATGAAAATATTTTCCACCATCTTTTCATAAATTACTTTCTTGACAATATTCAACATTTTTTCTATCAAAAAACACAAAGAAAACAACCATCTTTATAATGTAATAAATTCAATAAAATTAGCAAAAATATATTTAAAAACTATGACTAATAGAATAAAAAAAGTTAGTCTAAAATGCACATAAAATAACTTATGTCACATTTATGGTCCCACGTATATTTAATTCTTAATCAAACTTTTATCCATCTTTTACCTTTATATAGATACATTTTTTTATTATTATTTTTTATTTTTTAAATCTTATCTAAAAGTCTTCAAGCCATGAGAGAGAAGTCGGAAGATCCGTCGCCAAAGGCCCCAACCTGCAGTCCGAGAAGGAAAGGCCGATGTGGAGAAAACTGCCATAAAAAATTCGCCATCCGAACTCAGACCGGAGGAGAGAAGGCACAGACGACCGCCTTTGGTTCAGACCGTGACTGGGGGATAAAAATTGTCCCCATGAAATTTTGACCTAAGAATAATTTTTTACAGAGTCGTATTGATAAAATTGACCTAATGTAGTAGGCATTGTCCTCATGAAATTTTGGTTGTGCGATTGCACACCACCAAGACATACTCGCATTGGTGTGTGTTTGTCCGGCGGTAAAAAATCTTTGTAGAACAGTGTCCCCGAATAGGAATAAATTCATCGCATTCGCATTATTCTTGCTTTTATTACTTACAAACAGTCTAAAGTTTATTTTACTTCTCTTTTATGGTATTATTTATGCTTAAATTCTTTCTTTGAAACTTGGGTGTTGGAGTGGGTAAGAATAAGAAAATGAAAGTGACTCAATAACCAAAGTGGGAATTTTCCGTAGCTTGGAATGTTTGGGCCGGGACGAGAAATATCTGAAAATGACGTCAATTTTTTCATCCTTACGAAAAACAAGTTGTTTATTATTATTAAACGATAGACATCTTTATAAGGACGCACAAAAGTGCAAAATAGCTAACAATCGAATAAAAGTGGAAGGACAGATTCGGAGATCGCGTAGAACATGCATTAGCAAAACTAGAAAACGTACGACAACACAACTAAAACAAACTACAAACCCTAAAAAATGAAAAATTAAGGGTCCCATACAGGATAATACGCAGCTCCCACATAGAAAAAACACAAACTCAAACACAATTATTATTATTATTATTATTATTATTATTATTATTATTATTATTATTATTATCTGAATATGACATCAATTTTTTCATTGTAACGAAAAACAAATTATTTATTATTATTATTATTATTATTATTATTATTATTATTATTATTATTATTATTATTATTACACCTAACTTTGAACCAAACCGTTTATTTTTTGTGTTTGTTTTCTTTGTTTTGGTTTCTTGTTTTCTTTGCCAAAAAGGTCAACATGATCAAAATATTATACAATCAAAAATTTAATAGGTCCCGTCTATAAACGATTGATTATTTTATAGTTTTCCTCTAATGATACTTCCATGGCAATTCAATTGAAAAGAATATATGTATACACATTACACACTCTATTAACTCTATAACATGTACATAGAATTATTAAATGAGACAGGCGATTGTTAGAATGGATCGTAAATATATTTTAAATGTTAATAACTTTTGTATTTTATATCAATTTTAAATATATAATATATCAAATTAATCATCTCTTAATGAGTTTCGATTTAACATCCATATTGTATGTATAAAGAATTTAATTTTATTTATTATATTTATCTTTGTAACAATAATTAAATTATTTTTTCATATTAATTAGAAAATTAAAATTATTTATCAATTAATATATTTATATTTCAAGTAGTTACATGATATAAGTTATAAAAATTTTTATAATATAACACATGTAAATTGCTTAGGTAATAAGTGTCATTCTAAAATATATAATAATAGATATTTTTTGTTAAAAAGTAAATAAAATTTAAAATAAATTTTTTCATTAATTTTAAAATTTAAGAATAATTTTTTAAACAAACACCCGTGTAATACACGGGTGTTGTAATAGTATCAATTATTACGCAAGTCTATATTTCACCCCACGCAAATGTTTCATTACAAGTCAATTTGACATAATTAATAACTAATTATAGTAGGTGTACCAAATAAAAAGGAGAATAAATTATACGCCATTGTTTAGAATTTTATATTCAGCACATAATATAACAATATAACATACACCGTAAAATAAAGAGAAAAACATATGAAAACGAATTACCGTGTGAGACAATATATAACTCATGAGAAAAACATATACTTTTAAATTTATATTTTTACTAGTACAACGTTCGTGTACTACATGGGTGTTTTTATGAAAATTTAATTGTAACAAAAAGTGAAAAATGATAAAACTCTTTTTGTGAATTAAAAAACTATAAATATATTTTGTGAAGTATTATTTATTTTATTTAATATATATTTATTTTTGTAAAAATTAAATAGATTAATTAATTTATTTGACAATTAATACTGCACGTGAATATCACGGGCGCTTGAAAGTTTAAATATTTGTATCAAGATAAAGAAGTGAAAAAATATATATTCTTATAGTAGAATGATAAAAAATTAAATATACAACTAATAACTAAAAAATAACAAAAATAATTATTTAAAACAATACTCCTATTTTATACTCGAATTGTTAAAATGATAATTTTCTTAACCACACACACACACACACACATATATATAGGGAGATTCTACGGTCCCGTTACTGAACCATTCCGCCGAGGTTGGTAACCGTTAGATCAATTATCCACAACGGTTATATGATGATCTAACAGTTACAAATCCCGACGGAATGGTTCCGTAACGGGATTGTAGCATTTCCCACATATATATATATATTTTATACAACTCAATAATTTAATTTTGAATTAACTTTTTTTTTTTCAAGTTTGACTATATTGTAATTATACTTTATATATATATAATTTTTCTCCCTGATTTAATATTTTTTAAAATATATTCAACTTTTTAATGTTCAACAATTTAAATATAATGTGTATGAGTGTAATTTTTTAAACTTTATGAAATAAATTAATTATTTTTATAATTTTAATTATAATGTAAATTTACTTTTTTTTTCATGATCATAATGTTTCTATGTAGTCTTCATTTAAGTCGACACGTAAACTTTTATAATTTTTTTAGACAAATTTGATGTTCATACTTAGTTTATTTATTTATTTTCTAAATAAAGTAGTTATATTATAGTATGTTAATACACATAAATTTTATATATAATGTGGATATCAAATCAAAGATCGTTAAAAGATAAATAATTTGATATATCATATATAAAAATAAAATGCAAACAAAGAAAGTTAAATATTTTTTTTAAAAAAAGAATAAACATTTATAAATATTTGATGTATGGATTAAATATGAAAATAAAATTTAATATATAGTAATGTAGAAAAAGGAAACTTAAAATAGTTTATGGTAAATAGTTACAGAATAAAAGAACAAAGAGATCAATTAAGATTTAATATGAATGATATAGATATTAAATATAATCCAAACATACTTATTTTGTATAAAAATTATTAATTTATATCCAAACTTGACTTCGAAGCACAGTTTTTGCTACATAAAATTCCGTGAGCACATGTGAAAATGGTATTTCAACCCCATGTTTAATTTTTGGAAGGTACCGATGTGAATAAATACAATAGCTAATATTGTTACAATGATGTCCAATAAATTAATTTAATTCGATGTAATAACTTATTAAAAGATATATTCGTTAGAAATTAGAGAAGAAAAATGAGGAAAAAAAAAAGATGAGATAAATTTGATGTAAATAAATATGAGATAAAAATGTAATTGTTTAAATTGATGCAATATAAAAATAGTATAATGTTAATTGATAGCGATTGATAGTCATAAATATATTAGTAAATGTTTTTTTTAACATATAGTTATAGTTATTATTATTGAAAATAATGATTGTATTAGTGGGATTATTATGAAAAAAATAAGAAACAACTAATAGTATTTTAAAAAAGGTACTCGACCACAAAAATGACTTTTGATTATGCTTATAACACTGTTGAAGTTCGACACAAGGGAATACAAGGTGGCCGATTTTAGTTACAAATACATCGTTACCAACACTTTGAAAGCTAATTATTATCATATTGTTTCATATTCCAACAACTTTTATCACATTCTTGCACTCAAAACTCCTTTGTAACATTTTCATAATTAGATCCTTGTAATTTACGAGCTCTAAATAAGGGGTTGAGATTTCTTATTTCGAAACCGGGTCGATCATGTGTCATGCACGTGAGGATGAACCGAGACCTTATGGCATCTGCAACGGTGTATTTTTAGATCATTTAAATGGTCATTTTTCTCATTCAATCCGACGTAGCAATTCGTCCAATTGCACAAGTAGATGATGTTCACTTTTGCGGTTATGCTATCAACACATTAATGTGCTAATAGTCATCCTGTGCATATGCACAAATATAAATAAAATATTATAAATTATATTTATAGATATAATATTAAATTATAAATTAAATAATGAATATATTATATTTTTAAAATTTAATTATTACTAAAAATAAAATAATATGAATATAAATTATTTAAGTGTATATAAATTGAGATACGAAATAATAATTAAAAAAAATAATTGATTTTAGAATAAAGAGATTGAACGAAAACATCTGCAATGTAACTTCTGTACTACTTATGTAATTTCTATATAACATTTAGTGTAAATTATTATTAGTTGGTATTAATATTAACTATTATATAATATATTAGTAAAAATATATGATTATAATAGTAACGGTTTTCTACTATAAGTAGCTAAAAAATGGGAGGGGACATTACAAAATGACGCTGAATAAATAAAAGAAAAAAAATCGAATTAATGATGAAATTTTTGTAACATTGTTTGGCGAGAAACTAACATTTTTATTAATTGTTCTGTCATCAATTATATATATACAAATATAGATACCCTCACTCAGTGTAGAGCTTATTATATGTGTTTTTTCTTAATTTTAATTTTATTAATGGGTCCCACAAGAATGTCAAAAATTGTAGAAAGATATTATTTTCTAAAAAAGGGTGATATGAAAATGATGTGAAAACTGAAAGAGAAGTAGTATTTTTTGTAATCAAATGAGTTAGAACCAATGCAGATGGCCTTATGGGGTATGTGGTAAATATTTTTATCAGTTCGAATTGTAGGTAACCCGTGGACACAGTCTGATTTAGAATTCAAGTGGATTTGTGAACTTGGTTCGATGATAGTTATGTGTGAGAATGTTCCGAACTATTTTTTTTTTATCAATTGGATGAACGATAGATGTCCATAATAATTCCAATTAATCATCATGAAATGAAATGAAACAAGAATTGAAATTTGATTTGAGTTAGACACATGTTTCGTAATAATTAACTACCCTCTATATTGAAAATCCATAACAAAAAAGACAAAATAAAAAGGTAAAAAAAACAAAAGGAAAGAAAGAAAATTTACCTTAAAAGAGAAAAAAGAAACAGAAATTATTTTGACCTGCTACAGTCCATTATACACACTTCCATTTCTGCTTTTCTTCGCCCTTGGTCAAGATGACAAACTCAACAACACACGCACTCCAAACTTTCTCTCTCTAGATATTTCCTCTCTCCCTCCTCTCTCTCTCGACCATTTTGTTTTTACTTTATTTGAGAAGAAAAATATGAGCAAATCGCACACTCGCAAACGCAGATCTGCTGTTTGATCATTTGCCCCACTCACATTTTTGCAAGCAGGCGCATTTCAATATTTCCCCCTTTTTCCTTTTTTTTTTTCCTTTCCATTTTTCCCCTATTTTTGACCAAAGCAGTGTGGCAATTCAACTTTGCGAACTTTAGCTCACTGTCTGATCCTTTCTTCAATCACTCCACAAGGAAAAGAGGAAAAGGGTAGGCTCGAACAAATCTAGTTTACTATTGCTTTGTACTGTGTTATGCTGTCTGTGTCTCTGTACATGGTTTGTCCTAGATAGCTTGTTAATGTTGACTTCCTTGAATTGCGGGATTTCAATTGGCTTTTGATTCTGATTCTCTGTGCTGTGAAAGCTAGGGTTTCAATCTATTCTTTTTATTTTGTTAATACAGTACCAATTGATGTTCTTTTGTTGAAGTCTTTCATCGTGAGGTGCACGTATGCGTTTTTGTTCGGTGGTTGAGCACCGACCATTGGGTTTCTTAGTTAAAGTTTGAATCTTTCCCGCTATATGATGCTAAACTTCCTCAGATGACAAACTAAGTAAGCCCTAGCCTGGTTGATCCGTCTTGGGAGCTCATCTTTTTCCTCGATTTGTGTCTCTCCATTATCTCCTGGTTTTGAATGCGGCTCAATTGCGTGCCATGTCGTGAGAGATGAGGTTTTGGGCTGTAGAAAATGGGGTGTGTTTTCGCAAAAGAGACTCAGTCAAATGACCCATCTGGCGGCGAATCTGTGGCTGGGGAGAGAGAAGGTAAGGGTGGAGAGAGAAACTTGTCTGTGCCATCCGGTAGGAAAGAGAGGGCAGCGGTAAGCTCCGTAAGTAAATCGGATGCTGAGAGTAATGCTGGTGGCCGTGAAGCTCAAAATGGTGGAGAAGAGAACAATGAAGAACATAAGGATGAGGGCTCACGAAGACAGAGAGGAGAAAGGCGGAGGTCGAGGCCAAATCCGAGACTGAGCAATCCACCTAAGCACATTCATGGCGAGCAAGTGGCTGCCGGGTGGCCGTCGTGGCTCTCGGCTGTTGCGGGCGAGGCCATCAATGGGTGGACACCTCGTCGGGCGGACTCATTCGAAAAAATCGATAAGGCACAAAGTTATCCATTTATTTATTTATTTACTTATTGTATTCGTTTATTTTTCTTTGTGTTCTATCTATTTATTCCCTCCCTTTTGTTTTATTGTTCGTGTTTAGATTGGACAAGGTACTTACAGTAATGTTTACAAAGCTAGAGATGCCATCACAGGAAAGATTGTTGCGTTGAAGAAGGTTAGGTTCGATAACTTGGAGCCCGAGAGTGTGAGGTTTATGGCTCGGGAGATATTAATTTTGCGCCGTTTGGATCATCCGAATGTTGTGAAGCTGCAAGGACTGGTGACGTCTAGGATGTCGTGTAGCTTGTACCTCGTGTTTGATTACATGGAGCATGACTTGGCTGGACTTGCTTCCAGCCCGAGTGTGAAGTTTACTGAGCCACAGGTGGGATCTCTCTCTCTCTCTCTCTCTCTCTCTCCCTATAATATGTGTGTGTATGTGTGTATCTTCTTTGTTTTTGGGAATTTGTGATTTTAAACTTTTTCTTCAACGGTTTTGGGATTTTTTACATTTTTGCTGATGTTTGCAATTATCTGATTGGTGTGATAGGTGAAATGCTATATGCATCAGCTATTGTCAGGTCTTGAGCACTGCCACAACCGGCATGTATTGCATCGTGATATTAAGGGATCAAACCTGCTTATTGATGATGGAGGAGTTCTTAAGATTGCCGATTTTGGGTTGGCTTCGACCTTTGACCCTAATCACAAACAGCCAATGACGAGCCGTGTGGTCACACTTTGGTATAGGCCACCTGAGCTGCTTCTTGGTGCCACCGAGTATGGTGTGGGTATAGACTTGTGGAGTGCAGGATGCATTTTGGCCGAGCTGTTTGCTGGGAAGCCCATCATGACTGGGAGGACAGAGGTAAGAGTTTGACTTATTTATAAAATATAGACTCTCCTTGACCAACTATTATCTAATGCAAAAAATATGTCACGATGCTATATTTCATTGTTCTTTTGGTACCTTACCTTCTGTTATGGTTGCCCCATACTTTGTATGTGTGTTTGTGTGTGTGTATGTGAGTGTATTATATCAGAGCCTTCTGAGTTTTGAAAACAATGTGTGTGTGCGTGTGTATGCTATGCTTGCTTGGATTAGTGAGAAGTAGCTTTTTCTTGGGGCACCTCGAGTGGGAGTCTTTTACAAGGTTTTAAAAATAAAAAATAAAAACCCAGCCTACCCAGGGTTCATGATTCGGGTGTGATGTTATGTATCTAGTTATTTTTTAGGTAAAAAGTTTTGCACCTAAGTTTGTGTGGGAGGTTGGAGATATGATGAGACAATGAAATTACAATTTTCTGTGAACGTTTGGAACATCTAATATTGAAGCAACTTTTTAGGTTTATGATTGAAGAGAAAAGTTTACTTTATACTTTTTGACGTGATGACGATCTGACATTGAAATAAACATAATTCTTGGTACATGATTTGAGGCTCCCTTAATGGAAGCATGATATAATAATGTTGTATATACTTAGTTCCTCTACACTGAGCTGTGAAAATGATGTTGGTGATGGTAGCACGTGTTCGAAAACACAACAGTATATAATAAAAACAGGAAAGTTCTATATAATTTGGTATGAACTGAGGTGTGAAGAAACACTGTCTCAGTTTGTTTGGTTCTACACTATAATGGAAAGGCTTTGACTAACTTGTATGCTTATGTTAATGGCTTTTTCCTTTTTCTTTCTTTTTTTTTTTTTTGGTNCCTTTTGAAGTTATGTTAGCATAAGTTTTCTCCTTTTAGCTTTCTAGTGGCAATTGAATGCTGTAAGTTGTGTTTAGGTGGAACAGCTGCATAGAATTTTCAAGCTCTGCGGTTCTCCATCAGATGACTATTGGAAAAAGTCAAAACTCCCTCATGCAACTATATTCAAACCCCAACACTCGTATAAAAGATGCATAAAGGAGACATTTAAAGATTTTCCGGCATCAGCATTGCCTCTAATCGATACTCTACTTGCAATTGATCCAAGTGAGCGTCTAACTGCCACAGCAGCCCTAAACAGTGAAGTAAGCTCCCTTTGGCCTGCTTCTATACTCCTTTTTTGTTGTCTCGAGAGTCTGATGCGACACTTTGGTTTTTTAAACTTTTTATTTATATTTAATTTGACAAAAATGATGGGCTATTTTTTCTTTTCTGAATTACAGTTCTTTAGAACCAAGCCATATGCATGTGATCCTTCTAGCCTTCCAAAGTATCCACCAAGCAAGGAGATGGATGCTAAGCGTCGTGATGAGGAAGCTCGAAGGTTTGGGGAATAATTGTTTAGTTACATAGACTTATAATACTCCAATGCTTTTATCTTTGTTATTCCCACTTACGGTTCATTTGTAACAAAATGTGCACATATACTACATCCATTTGGTTTTCTTTTGTCGTTGTAGGTTAAGAGCTGCTGGTAAAACCCACACGGATATGGTAAAGAAAACACGAACCCGCGATCGGGGAATGCGGGCCATGCCTGCTCCTGAAGCCAACGCAGAGCTTCAAGCCAATATCGATGTATGTTATTTCACATGCTTCACTCAGTGTTCCTCTTTTATAATTTGTCCTTTTGCTGTTTATAATCTCTCAACGAACAAAACATGTTTTTTGTCCATTGTATATTAAAAATCACTTTTGTAATAGAACACGCTTATTTTCCTTTTGCTGAAACATGTTTTCATGCTCAGGAAACTCTTGATACTCAACATATGCTCACTATATGTGATAATTTTATTAGTGCTCTTTATCTTTTTATTTGCCACGAGTCGTTGAAGCAGAAATAGCATTTAGTTAAATGTCCTGGAAGCTATAGGAATAGCTTCCAGGACATTTACTTAGAAGGCAATATGAGATTGAGATCTTAGGTCAGGATTTTACATAATTCTTTACGTGAAAGGGAAAAAAAAAAATTCAAAACAAATGAAAAGTTCAGTGAGATGACTTGCTATTCGGAAAGTGATTGTGTTTGGCTATCATGACCTTTTAGGATATGTTTACCCGATACACCTGGTAAGGCAATTAATTGTTTTTTTCTTTTTCTCAAAAACAATATTTTTTTTTAATTTTTTTTTATTTTAAAATATGCCCTGAAATATGAAATATTGTCTTGTGTATTTGTTCTACAATCCACCCTTTTGACGGGTTGCAACATATAAAAATATAAACATATGACAAGGGGAAACTATATAGCATTTGAACATAACCAAGCTATTTCCTTGAACTCTTCATAAAACAGAGACGGCGGCTATTCACTCATGCAAATGCCAAGAGCAAAAGTGAAAAGTTTCCTCCGCCCCACCAAGATGCGGGAATAGGCTTCCCTTTGGGATCTTCCAATCACATAGACCCGACTTACGATCCGCCAGACGTGCACGTCCCCTTTAGTTCCATGAATTTCTCATACTCCAAAGAGCCCATCCAGACATGGTCTGGCCCTTTGGTCGATCCTTCTTCCGTAAAGAGAAAATCGAAGCCGCCTAAGAAAGATCATCACCGCAAGGACAAATATTCTGCCAGAGATTAATTAATTATTAAACAGGGGAAAAAAGTAAAGCTGGTAAAACGTGTAATATAGCGTGGCCCTATATATTTGCTGTCAGGTCAACACATGGAGGTGCAGGCCAGTGCAAGTTCATGTGTTATATCTGAACCGGGAAAGTATTGGATTTTCTAAGAGGTATGGTATATTATTTTCTTAATTCACTGTTCCTTTGTCCTTTTTTACGATTTTTTTCTTCGGGAATCTTGAGAACATTCTTGTGTATGTTATGATTTTTCTTTTTTTTTTCTTCTTCCNTGGAGTTTTTTTCCATTAAAATGACAGGCATTATAGTTTGAAATAGCTTCCTTATTGTCTCATATTTTATACTTACAGGATTTGTGGATGGAGAATTTGTGTTTTTGAATGTGATGTTTCTTTTTCTCTCTTTCTTTTTTTTCATGGTTATATATTTTGGTTGTTAGCAAGTTCTTACAATTAGCATGACGCGGATGAATTGTATAAGTAGGCTAAGGCAAGGGCTCTGTATCTGTATTTTTCCTTTCGTAATTTTTTTGTTCTTCTGGGCCTCTGGCTGCTAAAGTTGTGGAAAATAACTCCCTTTTACCGATCACTGAACAGGCACTTGAAACCAAGTGTTCTTTCTATGACGTGTATCGGTCTTTTAGTTCATATAACCTATGTGCAACACCCTTGAATATTGACAGTACAAAAACCTTTTGATATTGCTGATCACCATTTGAAAGTTGGATCTCGATAGTAATAACAAGCGTTGTTTTGGAGACCAGGCTACTTGTGGGTCTGATCGTTTCAGCTGAGAACTGTTCTTTTATTTTTTATTTTTGGTGAGATTCAGTTTATCAAAAGTTGGGCAGGTTGATCTCTAACTTCTGAAATTGATGGTTTTTTTTTATGTTTTTGATAAAATTCAAAGTTATATCCTAAGTGCAAAAATTCTATGAGGCAGTTGACTCCCTTATGGTTATGGAGCCATCTATGAATCAGTGTATTAGCATATGTGTGAAGGAGCGCTGCAAAGGAATCGAGCCGCTTGCTAGTGCTCGAGGCAAAGACTTGGCCCGAGCTCGAGTTTGACCAATTACAAGTTGGGCTAGAGCACCTCGAATTTGAACTCGAACTCGAGCCTGTATATTATAAGTTCGAGTGTTTGACGAGCAACTCAAGTATAAGTATTATTTACCCAAATCCTCCGAATTCAAGCTGAACTCGAGTTAAGCTCGAGCAAACAATCTTTCTTATTTGAATAGAAAATTTATATTGAAATTTAAGTTGAACTTAAGTGAAATTCGAGTTAGCATCCATAATTTGAGCATTTGTATAGTTTTTGTCAAGTCGAGCCAAGCTTTAGAGAGTCGAGCTCGCGCAACCACTTAAAAACCAAGATCAGCTCGATAAGACTAATGCTATAGGATGTGTTTGGTAAGTATATAAGTTAGTTTAGCTTATAAGTTTCTTCTATTCAAATAAGTTTGATTTGGTAAAATAATTTTTTTTTTAAGAAGCTCAAATTTATCTTATAAGTTTCTTTGGGTAGTTTTTCAAATAAGTTTATTGAAATTTTTGTTTCAAGTAGCGTATCTGCTAATTTTGTCAAACATTATTATCATATAAGTTAGCTTTTTAGTCATATGTCATAAACTATCAAGTTTAAATTTAAAAATCACGTAAAAGCTATAAGCTAACGTATTCCTAATATTGTAGACAACAAAGTGCAGCTTGGTGGTAAGACGCTTTACTTGTGACCGATAACTCATGAATTTGAGTCACTGAAGAAGGGAAGTTTGAACACTATTGATCCTCCTTAAAAAGAAAAAAAAAAAAAAAAAAAATCTTATCCCTAGTCGGCTCATTTGTAGAGATTGTAAAACTAGTTTTTAATTATTCAACCAAATTCTAACCCGAGCCATTGCTTGGTTTTGACTTTTGAATTAGACTATTTGGTATGTATAATCGAAAAGTTAACTAAACGTTAATACTACAAAAAACATTAATTTGGACAATTTTATTTCATACTTATAATGAAGATGCTGAGTATAGTATTTTCCTCAAAGCTTTTTTCTAATTAGATAACAATATTTACATTGGCATGAATTTCGTCCCTTTAGTTTTCAAGTTATTAGCTATTTTAATTTTAGTTTTCAAGTTATATTAATGAAGACGCTTTTCAAATCACTTCATAGATGTTTAAAAAAATCATATGCTTACAAAATTTATTTTGTATTCAAAAAAATCATGAAATGGTAAATAAGCTATTAGGAAAAATAGCCATATCCACCCTAACATAATTTGCAACATTTTGTCATGCAAAGTTATCTTATAAACTAAAACATTTTTTCATCTTCAAACATTTTAACATCATATTTTTAAAATGAGATACAATGGTTTGCAAGCTCTCAAAACATCACATAAATATTTTTAGATAAGCTCAATCAATCATTCTCTAGTTTTAGTACCCCAAACGTAATGGACTCACAAAGAGGCATTATCATAAAAAAAAAAAAGAAAAAAAATCAATTAATTTTAGTTGCATGTTACATCTCAACTTATCAATAGACATTTATAATTTTTTTTAATATAGATATTTTTGTAGTGTAATGTTATATTTCAAAAAAATGAAATAAAAATAAAACCATGGCATTTTATACATTTTTATTCGAAAGTATAACAAATCGACCCAACTTTCCGTAAGATTGGAAGTAAATTGTGATTCTAAAAAAAAATTCTATGAATTGCAATCATGGTGACATCTATATTACATAACTACTACAAATCATTAAATCTTTATCCAAACGAAATCTAACATTCAAACTAAAGGAATACATACAAAGTAAGGCCAAGCATGCTATATTACTTAATTATTTTTATTATTTATTTAAATTCCACCTTTTTCTCATATTATATTACTGCTTTGAGGAATCTTCTATATTGCTCATGTTTTGTGATCTTTTAGTAAAAAATTGGACATGGCTTCATTACATAGTACACTAACATGGCTAGTGAACCTAATCATATGCTGTCTATTTGGGACCCTTATTTGTCATTAATTTGTTAAAAGTAAGCAAATCTTAATTGCTTAAAATGATTAATGTCTGACTTAAACAAGACAAAAATCATGGCCTTTGCATGCCAAAAACTGAGTGTAGTCCCAAAATTGCATTTTTAAAATTTACAGACCTTTTGAAAGGGGCATAAATGCCCTTGAAGGTACATTATATATGTGTTAGTTCCTTTTTGGGGTGAATATGATAATAGAAAGTACTGTGTAGTATGTACCAAAAAGAAAACTA